TCTTTCCCTGACATCTCACTTCTACTGAGCAGGGATCAGCACCCCCAACCTCACAGCTCACTACCCCACCAGAGAATGACCTAAGCTGAGGACACTGGTGGGTTGTCTCCTACTCACAGGGGATGGCTCCAATCAAATGGCAGACTGCAACAAAGGCCCTGGGCTGTTCCAGAAAACCAGGAAGGATCTGGCTTTCCTCCAGTCCCATACAAAAAAGTGAGCATGCAGTCCCTGCTGCTTCTCCACCCCAAGCCACCCTTTGTTCTTCTGGCTGATCCCAGGGGGAATCACATTGAGGGATGGGATGCACACACACAGTACCTGGATCTGATCACCCATCCACTGGAAAGCTTGAACTCCAGGGGTTGTCCGGAGGACAAAGAGTCCAAATAAGAACTCCAAGCCAAGGCCCCAGAAAACAGCTCTCCAGGACACCTGGGGACCAAGAGCAGAATAGGGACTGAGATGTTAGCAAAGCCCACGGATGTCACTCTCTTGCTTCCTGCCTCTTCAGCACCATTATAGTGTAAGGGTCATGGGAATGCTACTAAAGAAAGCGTCATAGGAACCTGCAAATGTAGGATGGTGATGGAGCAAGAAGATGAGTTGGTGGGACTCCAGAACTGGCTGGTGGAACATAACCTGCCCAGCTTACCCAGGAGGAGATGAGCACAGAGACCTTCTGACTACCTTGATTGGTAGTATAGACACACTAGACTAAAACTCCCTGTTCATTAATCCTTTGTAGTAAGTGCGTGGAGGGAGTACCCAAACCAGTGAAGCCTTCAATCACTTCTGCCCAAGTCATCCAGGGCACCCAAAGCTCAGGCCCACCCTCCACCCCTGAAGCTCCTGAACCTCAGACATGTGTCTGGTGCTCGGTCTCTGGGTCTGACCCGCTATGAAGGATATGGTGGAAAACAGGATGGAGGCATCATGGGGGAGCCTTGGTTTGAGCAGTGGGAAGGAGAGCAGTGAGGTGGTTTTGGGGTTCCATCCATCTGACCAGCTCTGCCCAGGAGCCCTGCTGGACTTCTGCTTCCTACAGGGAGCTCTAGTGATGGGGTGCTAGTGGGAAGGAAGCACTAGTTCCCTAGTGCTTGGTGGTCAACTCCTGTGAGGGGACCAATGGCCAAGCCACACCTGAAACACATACTGCACTGTGGTGCTTGGAGCAGGCAAACAGGAACAGCACCAAAAAGCAGAAGCCAGCCAATGAGATGAGCTGCTCTGGGTTTCTGGAGGTGTCCAAAGCCAGCCATATGATCAGGCCTCCCAGCAGGGCCACCCACAGCAGCCTGCAAAGGAAATCCCAGATTGTCACAAAGGGGATGTTCCCATGGGGAGCAGCTCACAGAGGGCAGGAGCTAACTGCACAGGAGCTGCTGCCATGAGGTCTGTGCATCTGAAGAAACCTGGGGCTCAGACACAAATGAAGGATGTGAACAGCCCTCACACTACTGAGGTAGAGCAGCAATATGTTTCTGCCATGGCTTTTAAGTAGTCCCCAGGCGGGGCCATGCAGCATCATTCCTGAGGTGCCTGTGCGGCACTAGGGCAGATACCCAAGGCCACGAGATGTTGGTCATGTTGGCAGGGCAGCCAGACAGAGGGGACCCGGGTGCTGGGAGGGATCTGGCCCTGCCTTTTTCTCACTCACCATCTCAGCCATGGCCAGGACTTTTGGCAGCATTTCCAAACGGGGCTGAGAAGCAGTAACACCTTTGCCCCACAATGCTTCTTGAAGAGGCTCCAGCAGATGAAGAAGACAACCACCACAGTCATGACAACCAAGGCAAGGGCTCGCTGGAAGTTGAGCCAACAGGCCACAATAAAGTAGCACAAGTAGGCTGTAGAAGGCACATGGGGAGTCAGAAACATGAGGAATGTAGGATCACGATTCCTAACACTAACTGGGGCCAACAGTGAGGTTCATTTCCTCCAAATGTCCTTCTCTGGCCACCCTTGAGCCTCCTATCTATGCAAGGAGGACCTAGGGACCGCCACCCCTGAAGCCAAGCTCACTGGTGACAGCACCTCAGCTATCTGGGGGCACATAGAGAGAGCAGAAGAGGCACAGCAAACCCTTTGAGTAGGTGGAGAAAGGGAATGAAGACAGTGAGGTGCAGGTAGCCCTCGTGGGCAGGAGTGGTGGGGTGAGGAGAGGGCAGGCAGTGGGTTGATGAGAGCAGATAGAACCTCCACGTGGGTGCTTGTGCCCAGTGCTCGGAGGCTGGGGGCACAGCCAGCCAAAGAGATGTGGAAATGGGGACTCAGTGCCAGAAGTCCTCACCTACTCCCAAGAGGCCCAGGACAACTCTTCTCAACACATTGGCATGAGCCTTACAGAAGCGCTTTGCCTTGGATACTGGCTGCAGGGCCCTCCTGGGGAGAGTCACATTTCAGAGACATGAAAAGCACAGAAGATGGATCCTGAGGATCAACCCAGCTGAACTCAACAGGGCCAGGTCATGATCATGCCTTCCAGAGGGTGCCTGCAGCAGCAGCATGGTGGAGTAGGTGTGTCGTGGCCTCCAGAAGCTCTGAAGGAGCAGAAGAGACCCCACCACACACTCCAACATCCTGGACACCATGAATTGAGGCTTGCTCTGGGTGGCTGCTGCAGGCACAAAGACCTGCCACTGCCACCCTACAAAACCACATGGAGCCATCAGGCACTGTTCCCCCCTCTGTGGTCAGTATATCCCAGCTCTGCTCCCAGATCAGGTTTGGCTCCAGAATTGCTGGCCCAAGGGTTGCAGACTTGCTACCACCACTGTAAATGGCTGTAAATAAAACTGTAAATACAGCCACGCATCCCCAATGGTCGCCCTACCAGCAGTAGGAGGAGAATCTCCCTTTTCCTTCTCTTCTCTCCTCTTTGCTCTCACCACATGGACCATCACATTCCTGATAGAGTTTCTCCTCCCCCTGAAAAACATCATTAGCTGGAGCGCCCCAAGCAGCTCCTCTACTCTTGCAGGTGAGGGAAAGGGGGACTTACCACAGAACTGAAAGCTGGGTTATCTGCCCCATTCTCAAGGCTGTCCAGGTTTATCTGGTTTTCTTCCATCTCCAGAAGAGCTGCAGCTTCACTGCATTAGAGAAACAGCACTGTGAGGGATCAGCCCCGGCTGGGGAGGGAAAGATGGGATCAGTTCTGGGAAGGACCAATGTCCACCCCAATTTTCAAATTTGGGTCTCCAAGAGGAGAAGCCCTTCTCATTAGGGCATTGGCACTAACACACCAAGGGACAACCCCATAGAGTCCTCAAGCTGCAGCGCTAGTGGGTGACTTCCTTCTCCTGTATCTCTGGGAAAGAAATACAGGAGAAGATTAGATGCAGCAGGGGGGGTTGGTAGCTCCACCTCCAAGCTGGTGGCAGTGGCCACCGGTTTCCATGAGCCCCTTTGCAAATGGGATTTCGCAAAAAATAGATCTGGCTGCATCCCACATGGAGAGCTTTGGGTGCAAACAAGTAAGATGAGGAAGAAGGTCCTGTCATGTTGGTAACTAGTACAGTACTGAAGCCATGGGTAGGAATAACTGGTAGTTTGCATGGGGACTGGTCCTAAAGGAGGATCATACTGGGAGAACTGGTCCAGCAAAGCCAGAACTACCAGTGTTATGCCAGGGGAGGAACACAGTTGGAGCATCCCATTTGGATACCCTCCTAGTTCCTCTACCTGGAGAAGTATGAGGGAGGAGCACAGAAGTCACAGAGAGGGCAATGAATGATCAACTGTAGGAGCAGTACTGTGTGAGGACAGAGGGAGTGTGGAGTTGTCCTTGCTTTGGAGGAGGGTCACACAGTTCTGCGTGGAGAAGGTGGAGACAGCAAAGTCACTGCCTGTTTCCTGCAGCATGAGAATTAGGGTCCACTGAGGGGAGAGACTCACCCTCAAATGAAATAAGTGGAGGTGAGGAGTTTTGGAGAACATCCTCCACCCCAGCTTGGAACCTCATGGCAGCTGAATGTGGTGCTGGGCTCCATGGGCCAGTGGAGCTACCAAGGAGGACCAGCAGGAGGACAACTGAAACATGCTGACCCCCAGTATGCCCCTGGGCTTGCAGCTCCTCAGGAGTAGGGCAGGACACAGAGCCACAGTAGGACTCCAGACCTCCTTTGTGGCTTCCAGCACTCCTGGTCTTAAGGATGTCTCCAGGACCCCTCCAGGGACCCCAGCTCTCCCCATCCTTCCCATGTTCACTGCCCTCCAGCATCTGATGCCACCTCCATTGCCCCCTCAGTGCCACCTCCTCAGGTGTTTCATCTACCTTTGTTTTTGTCAAGTCTCATTGGTTGTCCTCCCCATGAGGAGTGAGGCCAAATAGGTAGTCAATTGGTGGGACAGCAGCTGATATACCCCCTGACCCCGTCGTGTCCTGTGTCCCTATGCCATGCCCATGCCCCTTGCACCTCTGTCCCCCATGGATGCCTAACTACCTCTCAGCTCAGAGCGGCCATGTGTTCCTCTGGCCTCCCCATAGTGTCCCTATGCCCTGTGCCCTCATGCCTCCCAATACCTCATGCCCCACACCCTCATGCCCACCATGACCTTGTGCCCCACACCCTCATGCCCACCATGACCTCGTGCCCCACATACTCAACCTCCCCATGTCCTTGTGCCCCACGACCTCACACCCGTGCCCCACGGCCTCGCGCCCCCCATGTTCTCATGCCCTGTGCCCCTGGTCCCCGTGCTCACCCTGACTCTTCTCAACACATTGGCATGAGCCTTACAGAAGCGCTTTGCCTTGGATACTGGCTGCAGGGCCCTCCTGGGGAGAGTCACATTTCAGAGACATGAAAAGCACAGAAGATGGATCCTGAGGATCAACCCAGCTGAACTCAACAGGGCCAGGTCATGATCATGCCTTCCAGAGGGTGCCTGCAGCAGCAGCATGGTGGAGTAGGTGTGTCGTGGCCTCCAGAAGCTCTGAAGGAGCAGAAGAGACCCCACCACACACTCCAACATCCTGGACACCATGAATTGAGGCTTGCTCTGGGTGGCTGCTACAGGCACAAAGACCTGCCACTGCCACCCTACAAAACCACATGGAGCCATCAGGCACTGTTCCCCCCTCTGTGGTCAGTATATCCCAGCTCTGCTCCCAGATCAGGTTTGGCTCCAGAATTGCTGGCCCAAGGGTTGCAGACTTGCTACCACCACTGTAAATGGCTGTAAATAAAACTGTAAATACAGCCACGCATCCCCAATGGTCGCCCTACCAGCAGTAGGAGGAGAATCTCCCTTTTCCTTCTCTTCTCTCCTCTTTGCTCTCACCACATGGACCATCACATTCCTGATAGAGTTTCTCCTCCCCCTGAAAAACATCATTAGCTGGAGCGCCCCAAGCAGCTCCTCTACTCTTGCAGGTGAGGGAAAGGGGGACTTACCACAGAACTGAAAGCTGGGTTATCTGCCCCATTCTCAAGGCTGTCCAGGTTTATCTGGTTTTCTTCCATCTCCAGAAGAGCTGCAGCTTCACTGCATTAGAGAAACAGCACTGTGAGGGATCAGCCCCGGCTGGGGAGGGAAAGATGGGATCAGTTCTGGGAAGGACCAATGTCCACCCCAATTTTCAAATTTGGGTCTCCAAGAGGAGAAGCCCTTCTCATTAGGGCATTGGCACTAACACACCAAGGGACAACCCCATAGAGTCCTCAAGCTGCAGCGCTAGTGGGTGACTTCCTTCTCCTGTATCTCTGGGAAAGAAATACAGGAGAAGATTAGATGCAGCAGGGGGGGTTGGTAGCTCCACCTCCAAGCTGGTGGCAGTGGCCACCGGTTTCCATGAGCCCCTTTGCAAATGGGATTTCGCAAAAAATAGATCTGGCTGCATCCCACATGGAGAGCTTTGGGTGCAAACAAGTAAGATGAGGAAGAAGGTCCTGTCATGTTGGTAACTAGTACAGTACTGAAGCCATGGGTAGGAATAACTGGTAGTTTGCATGGGGACTGGTCCTAAAGGAGGATCATACTGGGAGAACTGGTCCAGCAAAGCCAGAACTACCAGTGTTATGCCAGGGGAGGAACACAGTTGGAGCATCCCATTTGGATACCCTCCTAGTTCCTCTACCTGGAGAAGTATGAGGGAGGAGCACAGAAGTCACAGAGAGGGCAATGAATGATCAACTGTAGGAGCAGTACTGTGTGAGGACAGAGGGAGTGTGGAGTTGTCCTTGCTTTGGAGGAGGGTCACACAGTTCTGCGTGGAGAAGGTGGAGACAGCAAAGTCACTGCCTGTTTCCTGCAGCATGAGAATTAGGGTCCACTGAGGGGAGAGACTCACCCTCAAATGAAATAAGTGGAGGTGAGGAGTTTTGGAGAACATCCTCCACCCCAGCTTGGAACCTCATGGCAGCTGAATGTGGTGCTGGGCTCCATGGGCCAGTGGAGCTACCAAGGAGGACCAGCAGGAGGACAACTGAAACATGCTGACCCCCAGTATGCCCCTGGGCTTGCAGCTCCTCAGGAGTAGGGCAGGACACAGAGCCACAGTAGGACTCCAGACCTCCTTTGTGGCTTCCAGCACTCCTGGTCTTAAGGATGTCTCCAGGACCCCTCCAGGGACCCCAGCTCTCCCCATCCTTCCCATGTTCACTGCCCTCCAGCATCTGATGCCACCTCCATTGCCCCCTCAGTGCCACCTCCTCAGGTGTTTCATCTACCTTTGTTTTTGTCAAGTCTCATTGGTTGTCCTCCCCATGAGGAGTGAGGCCAAATAGGTAGTCAATTGGTGGGACAGCAGCTGATATACCCCCTGATCCCGTCGTGTCCTGTGTCCCTATGCCATGCCCATGCCCCTTGCACCTCTGTCCCCCATGGATGCCTAACTACCTCTCAGCTCAGAGCGGCCATGTGTTCCTCTGGCCTCCCCATAGTGTCCCTATGCCCTGTGCCCTCATGCCTCCCAATACCTCATGCCCCACACCCTCATGCCCACCATGACCTTGTGCCCCACACCCTCATGCCCACCATGACCTCGTGCCCCACATACTCAACCTCCCCATGTCCTTGTGCCCCACGACCTCACACCCGTGCCCCACGGCCTCGCGCCCCCCATGTTCTCATGCCCTGTGCCCCTGGTCCCCGTGCTCACCCTCCAGCCCCGCCAGCAGCGCCGCTCCTGGCCCCGCGCCCCGGTTACCAATTAACAGCTCGGTCCAAAGAGCTGGGCTGGGCTCTGCAGGGCTGGGGCCGCCCCAGCTCCTCCCGGGCTCATGCCCGGGCACCCGGGGGAGGCCCAAAGGGGCAGCCATACAGGGCACCACGCAGCCCAAAGGAGGGTGCCCTGAGGTACTTCCATGCCCAGGCAAAACTAATCACTTCCCTCAGGGCTCAACACAGAAATCCAACCTTTACCCCACCCCAGGAAATGCTTCCCTGAAAAAGGGCCTCTCCCAGCCCCTGGCTGGGGCTGCTGGTCACCCTCTGTTGGGAACCACTTTTCTGCACAGGCCAGTGGGGGCTGTGTCCCCACATAGCAGCAGCTGGCTGGCATCTCCCTGCTCTTTGTGACACAGGGAGCAGGGAAGCAATACAGCTCTGAAGGTGATGTGAGCACCCAGCAGTGGGGATTAGCAGGAACAAGTTCAGAGATTGCTGGTCAGTTACACCCGAAGGTACCCATGTGCCACATTGCGTCTGGATGCTAGCTCCCCGTAGAAGGTCCTAGCACACACCAGCAGCATCTTCAGCCTGTGGGTTGTGCCCAGTCCTGCCCCAAAGCTGCCCAGATTGGTGTGGGCACAACCTGCTGGTACAGCTCAGTGAGAGGCTGACAGGGGGCAAAGCCCTGCAGGTGCTTTGTACAAGGCTGGTGAGAACTATCCGTGCATGTGAAGGGCACCACTGCAACACTCATGAGATACTGGTGCAAACCCCAGTGGGTCATGCAGAAGCCACATCCCTAGAAACATTTAAAGTCAGGTTGGATGGGGCTATGAGCAACTTGGTCTAGTTGAAGCTGTCTCTGCTCAGTGAAGAGCAGTTGGACTAGACATTTAAAGGTCCTTTCCAACACAAACCATTCTGGCACAGGTTTCCTGGGGAAGCTGTGGCTGG